GATTTTGGGTATCTAGGAAGTCAGATAAGTCAGGACGGAAGGAGTAGTAGGGATATAAAGCAGAGGATAGCGCAGGGTCGAGTCACCTTTAATAAAAAGAAGTCACTTCTATAGTCGCGAACGGTTAATTTAGAAATTTGAAAAATATTGTTAAAGGTGTATGTTTGGAGAGCGGTGCTGTACGGGTGCAAAACATGGACAATGGGCGCTACGGAAAAGAAAAGGTTAGAAGCGTTCAAAATTTGGTGTTACAGGCGTATGATGAGGATATCGTGGATAGAGAAGGTTAGAAATGAAGAGGTATTATAAAGAATAGGAAAACAGAGGACTCTATGGAAGTCAATAAGAATAGGCGAGATAGGTTGGTAGGACACCTTCTCAAGCATGAACGTCTAGTAAGAGACATATTAGAGGCAGAAACGGAGATTAAGAGGGGTAGAGGTAGACCTAGATTAAATTACTGTTCGTAAATAGTTAAGGATATGGGTTGTTCTAGTTTTAAGGAAAAGCGAAGATTAGGAGCTCAGGATAGGTAAGAGCGGAGGTACGTGTCGAGCCAGTCTTAGGACTGACGACCTTTTGATGATGATGATGCTAATTTTAAAAAATTTCCCTAATTTCTTCATCTAAAAATTCAAGACTCCTGCAAATTCCCTGTTGTATATTAACAACAACTTTAATTCAAATTTAATCTTAATTCATCACCCTATATAAAGCTAACAATTAGTAAAAATTACAGCTTAAATTATAATTGTATGCAGCTTTTGCAAAATTTCACAAGGCGTAATATGCACTATCCTTAAAGCAAATTTTGACATTAAAATTAAGAGAAGAATTATGATTATTGATGATAAAAAAAATCCATTTAAACGACATTAACCTAAAGTAGAAGCATTCGTTTGATTAATCCTTTATTCGATAGTTTAATAATAATAATAGTCAACTAATTCCTTAAAGTCCTATCACCAGAGGCGACAAATGCACAACAAACGTGAATAATAAGTGTACCTTCAGAATTTCTATCAGTAACATCGACAAACATCTCAGTTTCTGGAAACTTCGTCTAGGTACTATATATACATAAATAAGAAATTTCTTCGAATAAAATTTACAAGTTCAATTAAACAAAATTAGCTACATTAAGTATTTCAAACTAGCATAAATGCAATTTAATTTGTTATTAGGAAATAATGCGGCTGCAAAACATGCGCATCTCTTTCTGATAAGGCTTCTGCAACAGCGATGAATAACCATAATTTTTTTCAAAACAAAATTGTTACGCAATTCAAACAAAAACTGGTTTTGATTTTTTTTTTTTAAACTTTAACTTGATACGTTATTAATTTACAAAGCATGACGCCATTTTCGAAATGAAAATAAATCAAAAATATTGGTATGTTAATTATACAGTTAAAACAGTTCTAATCCTGGTGTATATGTATGCATATAATGAGTATAAGTGGTAGAGACTTAGGCAGAAGGCGATAATTTGAATACCTATTCTCGCATACGTACATGGAGAAAACAATATGACAATGCAAAAATTACAATTTTCGATTGTAAATAACTGAATTTGCCGTAGAAACAGTAGAATTTATTAGATGACTTGCAATAATCTCTATTTGGACATGTTTTTTAAAAATAATTTCAAGTTTCTTAATTATTACAATTAAATTTGTAATATCAACTAAAATAAATTTATTTCTGCTGGGGTTCTATTTTTACAAGTTCGGGTTCAAATTGTAATTTTTATTATTTTCGTTTACGAGGCAACGGGATAGTGGGATAAATTATAAATATCGCTTTAATATTTAGGTAAATTTTCATTTTTCATTTTCTACGCGTATAATAACCGACTTCAGTACTACAGCATGTTTACCTTACAAATTTAAACTAATGTTCCAGCCTTAGGGATGGAATAATTTCATCAAGTTTAGGTGCATGCATATGGTGTGAAATCTATGTATGGCAATAAAAATCGTCTATCTAAGTAGGAGGAATTTACACTGAAACATAGACAGTAGACAGAATTTTAGTTTTCTGGGATTTGGAGTGTCCCATACCTTTCGGAAAATGCAAAAGAGATAATGACTGGAGAGTTTTGGGAGCTTTGGACTGTTGACCTTGTAACGATGTCATTAATTAACGCCCACTGATTATATAATGGCACTGCATAATTAACAACGATACCAAAATTTCCATTAATTTTATCGAAATGTCAAAATCCTAAAATCATCAAGATCTTATCAAAACCAAAAATTGCTACTACGTAATATTTTATACACGGGTCAAGCATAAAAAGCTTCAAAGTCGAAATTATTTTGCATATGAAAACCAACACTTTGCGATTTTATTACTTAAGTTCTTTCATATTATAAAATCAAAATAGTTGTAAGTTTTTGATAAATATTAAAGAAGCGGTTCCGACACGACACGACTTATACTATAAAAAATAATTCCAATTTGCATTTGAGCAAAAACGACACATCAAGGACTTGGTATTAGGTACCTGTAAACAGTAATTAATAAATGGTCAATTTTTTTTAAAGCCCTACGTTCCATTTCCGCAATACGTGCAATTAAGAACGTGTAATTTCTTCTTCAAAATCATTATACAGATATAATAATTATTATTTAACAACATCGTGGTTACAAACAACAAGTTGTTTATTATTCTATTCATAGAACATTCATAATATAATCGAAAAGGGAATTCAGCTAATATAGTAAACGTTACAACAAATACTGCCCTTCAATAAGAAACAGAGGCGTATTAGAAGCAGAAACAGAAGTTAAGAGGGGTAGAAGTACATTCATTAACTGTTCACAAATAGTTACATTGACATCTCCCAACATTTTTGTTTTATTTCTATTATTTTTCGGTCAATACCGCTACAATTTTGTGTTATCTATGTCAAAATAAATAATAATTGAATAAACATGCATTGTCTTAAAGGCGCCAAAATTACAAATAAAATATTTCTTGAGAATGATTACGAAATAACATTGAGTTTCAGATATTAGAACAAAAATAAACTTTCATATCGGAAATTTCGAAATAATAATATCGATTAGTGTGTCTTCTTCTAGTCCCCCCCCCCCACTCCCGACCCTAAACTAAGTACGAAGCAAATTAAATATTGGAAAGGTTATCAGTATGCAGACAACTACTGATTTGCTAACTATTATTATTATTACTAGTATCTATCGAACGGCAAAGCCAATTTTCAATAAATAACAATTTAAATAAAAATTATTGCATAATCAGTCTCCAAAATTGAAAATACATTATAATATGTTTGTAACTCTGACTTGTGACGGAGGTGCTGGACATTGCTCTGATATTTCCGACAGTTTGAAGCAAAATTCCCGCAGTCGTCGAATATACGAATAAAATGAATCAATAAATAAATTAAAAAAAAATCAGTCAAAGGTCTACCGTAAAATCACGTTTTCAATATTAAATATTCACGTCTTTTATTTTGTTACTAATTAATAGCGAACGCGTTGGTTTACGTTATTAAACAAATCACGAGTTTGTAACAAACAAAAAAATTGTGAAACTGACAGAACTACTGCAGAATTCGAGAGATTCCGCGGCCTACGTCTTCACTATTAGATAGCTTTACAAATACTTCAACTTAAAACAGATGAAAAGAATCAATAGTGCGCATTTTGACATGTATTGACAGCCAAGGATCTCGACGTCTTTTGTATTTAATATGTCACCAAAATTTGCAGTAAACATAGTCAGTTGTTTTGTACGATAAGAATTAAGAATTTTTCTTTGGGATCAGGATCTAACCCGAAAAAAAATTGTTCTGTTGTATAAAAATTTTATCAATTATATGCATTCGTTATAATTTTACTGAAAATGTTCAAAACTCATGCTCTGCCACTGGCAGAAATAAGGTTAGGTTAGGTTAGGTTGATTAAGAACCTAAAAACATAGCGTACCCGTTACTACACTAACAAAAGAAATAGCTAAACACATACAAATCTCCATCAGTCACAACATCTACATATAATAAACCTATTAACGAAACTATTTTGAACGGGGAAGGTGAACCAGTATTAATTGATTAAATTATTATTGTTATTAAAGAAGAAATAGACACTGTTCGAATCTGAATGTAACAGCCGCAAGTTTCCTGAAAGACAAAAAAAAAAAGATCAGTCGGGTCCGAACTGACCATCGACGTATTGATACTTGTTATATCCGCTTCATTAAGAGCGGTCCCCGAAATTTTCCTACGGGTTTTTACAGAATCGCCGATGAACCTGCAAGCGCTTAATGCATTATAAAAATGATAATTTCATTAACGATCAATTTCGATTAATGTGAAAAGAATCTACGTCACAACCTATTACATTAAAGTTTATTTTCCCATAAGTTGTTAATAGGCCTTACACACAATATTATCAATGTGAACCGTACCGAGAATATGCCAGGTGAGTACCTAAGTACATTAGTTTATTATTGACCATTTTAATGGACCATTTTACCAAAATGACCCTTTTTGGATACACATGTTTGTATTAGCAGTTATTTACGTAAGACAAATAAGCATGAAAACACTAACATGAATATGACAGTATACTTAGATAATTTTCTACAAGAATGCAAGAGCTACAGGGTCTGTTTTAGGGTAACAAACTTACAATAACTACTAAAAACACTCACGCAAACAAATAGCAAAGGATTTGCAGTTTTTAATCCAGTAATTACGTTAAAACCGGCGGAGACATCAACGGTGCGTCAAGCGCGAAACCTCTACCTTAAAATCCGTTCTTTCTCTTTCTCGTTTCTATTAAACATTAACATTAATAACAAACAAGAGGCAGTTTATACGATACATAGGTACCTATTATTGTTACTATTATTGATAATAATAATATCGCGTCGAATTCAAGTAGAATCGTCGTAATGCAATTTGTTTATAAGCATCGGTAAATTATAAAATGAGCTTTTTGCGGCGGAGGTGGTCAACAGGTTTCGCTCTAGGTCTCCCATTGGTCCGGTGAAAGCATCGTAGCACATGTTTGAAACTATATATACAATGTACACCTCAGTTGTTTCGATCAAATTGTTATCCTTAAAACATCGGCAAACTTAGTTAACAACAAAAAGAAATAAAAAAGAAAAACGTTCTTACAAAGTACCACAAAGGAAATTGTAAAAGTAACAAACGATTAACTAATAGTTTCATTTATTTATTGACGTGTTCTGCTGTTTGATAATATCGGGTGCGATATATATAAATAAATCTACCTGTATAAAAATCCTTCGGGATAATTTGATTGGAAGTGCGAATATTATTGTGATTTGAGAGTGACTTTTCAAGAACTTTTTTGTGAACTATTAAAAATGAAAGGATTTGGTGGAATTTGGCAAAAATTCCTTAGGAGAACTTACTCGGCTGTTAACACAAGAGAGTGTCCTGAAAGAGGACGACGAGAACAAGAAGCAAACTGTAAAAGTAAGATAGAGAGATATTTTCTACAAAAATTCACGTTCAAAAGCTTCTTTAATTAATATTGTTATTATTTTTCTGTAACTAAATTTTAATTGAAATATTAATTGGTTATGAAGTTGTTTATTAAATTAACCCTTAATTGCAAAATTTCTTAACACCATTCATACCATGCACATTATCATTAACTTTCAGTTGAATTATACTATTATTTATTACAAAACGTGACATTTTACCTTAATCAACTACTAACACAAGCATTATTTGCATAAAATACCTAACTATTAAAACTTGTGTAGTTAAAATTTTTATTTAATGACTAAGCATAATTCTCAGTTTCGAAAAATCTATGTAATTCCTTTTAACGCAATTAATTTTAAATATTGAGTAAGTAAACAGTGTAACTAATTAAACCGGGATAATATACATTTACTACTATATTTGCTCTGATCGTAAATTGAAGAGCACCATTAGTATTAGAAGATTTTAATAATTTTGTTAAATACCGAAACGAAAAAAAAAAATTATTTGCCATTCTAATAAAAACGTAATGCGATAAAAAGCACCGTCATGCATGATGTCATTTATCGACAAATATTCCCGATTTAGGATCGCCAATATTTAAAAGTCAAATTGGAACTTTTTACTGCTACACAAAGAGGATTTTACACATCAAAAATATTTTATACGAATTATCAATTTCATTCATGAGTTCAAGAACTTAAAATCTTATTTCAGTGTCAGTCCGTCTGTCTGTATGTCATAGCTGACTAATGATCAACAAAATGAAAATAATTCTTCATATTTGTAAAGAAAAATGCACAAAATTGTCACATTATTGTTAAAATTTGTAAAACGCCTACTGTTTCGCACGTATTTTACGACTTCCTCAACAATGCCACATTTTTTTTTTATACCTACATGTATATCGAACAACATGATAAATACAACCGTTGCATTCGTCCTTTGGTTAATGCAAATCGTAAATTTCTTCCGTATGTGTAAGAAAAATTAAATCATAGATTAACAACAATGACAAAGACACTGTAAGCAATAATTTTAACCGTTTATGGAACCCGTTCACGTAGGGCTGCGCTAGCCATTGTACAGTAATAATAGCCTATATACAATAAAATGCTGTCATACATATTCATCACCTTGCCGGACAGATATGTCGAATACAATCCACGACAGAACATTTAGGGATTTTTGGCTAACATTTTCAGACCTGGAGAAATGTCCCTAGACTCAGGGAGTTTAGAGCCGTCGTAGAGAAAAAGTGATTTTCATTTAATTTATAATATAATAATGAAAAGAAATTTAGTTGGCAACGCCTATCGGCGAACTATGTATCGGGAAATCAAATCAGTGCTGACAGGACAATCACCATCCACTAAATTACAATTAATTATATTAGTGAAAGCTCAATTTGCGAAGTTATGCGACTGAAATTAACAATAAGGGCTTTCAAAATGGGATATTTGACCAGTAATTGGCACAAGCTTCTAGGTGACCTTTATCACTAAAGGCATCTCTTGATTACAAGCACATAATAATTTCATAACGATTATTTGACGACAACGAAGATGATAATTGTTTCGGGCAATTTAAAGAAAATAATTATTTTGCACAATTTAACTCGTAATTAATTACTAGTTGCACAAAGGTATTGATTATTGTCATAAATGCAATGTTTGCGTCATACGAACGCGTCTAGTATCATTTTCGATTTTATGCCCAAACGGTTAATTGGAGTCTTTGAACACTACATTTTTTAATAACGACCTTGCATTATAATAAGTAACTATTTTTTAGTTACTTAAACAGAAAAATTCCGCTAGCATCCAATTTAAGCGAATTCATATATCGATGAAAATTGATGTCATTACTTATAAAGATGATTTGCATCTTAAAATCTTCGAACTGTTAAAAATAAACGCAAAATTTTCCGCTGTTGTCTCCTAAATTTATTATCAAACGTTTGATGATTTATAGACTACAATAAATTGCTTTACAACAACAATCAATTAACTTTTAAACTAATTTAATTTTTTTATCTGGTTGTGAATAGGTACAAGTTAAAGTTTGTATTGTTTGTTACAATTCATTCAGGATGCGGACATACAAGTTATCACCTGAACAATTAATTCTTAATTAGACTGTAATAAAAACTGGAAACTTGTCCAAAAACTTCCAGAATTTCCACCAATAACTTTTATAGACTTGACCTTAACGATTGGAACATTTCATTTAGTTTTTTTTTTGTTAACATCTTACCAAAACACAGATGTAAAAAATTACAACTAGTTTAGCGTGCATTTCTGGTTCTTGGCGTCGTTAAAACCCGTTAGTTTAATGATTGAAAATTTCCATCGATATATTTAAAAACAACAACACACGCCTCCAATATTTACATTCAAAATCCATTAGTAGCTATCGCAGAAAATAAAACCAAATTATGTTTCGATTATCGCAATTTTACCTAAAAAATACCTCCAAATGATTCATGCTTTCTCTAGATTATTATTGTAAATTATTTCAATTAAATTATTATTATACGTAACATAGACCACACGTGGACGAAGGTAGACAAGTTCTTCGTAGCTCTGTATAATCCGAGGATTTGTATTCAATTGACAACAACGCACTTGCTAATTATAAATCAAGCGAGCGTACATTACAGTAAGAAAAATAACTGGGCAAATTAAAATCTAATTAATTGCCAAATACATATAATTGTAACCCCACCGATGTGTACATGACTCTCTAGAGTTACTAAGAGGTCGTTCGTTGACACAGATGGCCGAAAATATTTCGCAGATTGCTCAATCGATGAATCGACGAACGAATTGCAAAAACAATTTTGTTACAGTTGACACGTACTAGAACAAAGTACAGAAGAAACACGAACTCAAATACGAGACACAACCTACACGTATACGCTACAATTTGTGTGTCTTATTAACAGAAGAAAAGACAACACGACCGAAGTTATTACATTTAGTTACTGGTGCGGATGCAGCGACTATTTTTAGATTTTACAGCAATTATGATATTTTTTAAAGGATTTCTTTGTAGTCATAGTAGAAAGTATCATAATGAATCAACATTTTTGTTTTATAAGTATTGAAAAGGAGAACCACTTAGGGGGATAATTATGTACAATTTTTAAACTTTCAATGCCGCGTCGACTCGAATAACTAAAGGAAACATAACAATTCTATCAAATTGAGATGGCAGGTCTCTTTTAGTAATTATTTTTTGATCGATGTTAATAGTAATTATACGATTCAGAACCCACTAAAAATAAAGGAACCGGTCAAGGTAAAACTGAAAATAATAATCGTCAAGAAAAAATTAATTTCAGAAATTAAGTACATTAACAATAAACCAAAAAAAATTTTAAAGTGCAGGCTGTCGATCGGTTTAATACAACTCAAAAATTCGAAGGATTTTTGCCTTGTCCCGGAAGTTCGAATGCGGAAAAGAAAAAGAGAAGGAGAAGGCAACAGCCTACTACAAATTTGAATACAGTGTGTCCCATAAGGTGTGCTTATCATTGGAAAAAATTAAACAATTGTTGTACGAAGCTTTCAATAAACAAAACTGTCCTCAACATAACAAGTCTGCTAATATTAACGCACAAGTTTAAATTTGTTTTAATCTTTACTCTATAAAGTGATTGATTGAAAGGATAAAAAAAGGTAGGATGGCACCTACGTTAGTGTTTTATTGTCTATTTATAATTAAATAAATTATGCGTAAAAAAATATTTAATTAGCACAAACAGAAGCAGCCAAAAGCATAGTTTATCTTATAACTAGTATAACGAGTCTACAAAACTCGATTGCGTTGTTTTAAATTATTGTCGATGTCCAGCACATTTCCTTAATAAATAAATAACTCCTCGTCCTTGGTCATCATATATAAAACCATAACAGAAGTTGCACTCGTTATTATACGGTCGAAACAATTTTATTTAGGTACCTGGTTTACCTCCAAACAAGTCCGATTTTTTTTTGCGAACAGTTTTACGGAGTTACGGAAAAGGGAAAAACAACTGACCATCAATACAAACAAACGATTTCATTAAATGCCAAAAAAGAAACGAAAACAAGACATCTAAAAATCCGCGCTAATTAATTCTGTTTCTGTAATTATAAACATTCAAAAAGTGCTTTTTACGTAAAAAAAAACTACTTGTTGTTAGCTTACATACGGGGATGTTAGGTCAGGTAACACTGTGGTAGGTCATGCAATGCGGTGTAAGGTTAGGTTAGGTACAAATTTATAATAACTTCAAGTTAAATTACAATCTATAAGAAATCGCCAGTTTTTTTTTAGGATTAACAAATCGTAGTGATGCTTAAATGAGGTAACAATTTCATCAAAATCTGAATCGTTTTTTAAAACCGCTAAAGCTAATGCTAAGTAATAGGCAAACTAAATCTAAAGATTTAGCAACACCTAATCTCTCCATTAAAACGATAGCGAATTTCCAAACTCAAAGCAAACAATTTATGGCAAAAAGCATAGAAAACAGTTACATTATGTATACCTATTAGATAAGCTAACATGAACGGATTAACGGTATTTAGCCCAAAACATGGCAGATTACACAAGTCACCATACCGATTAAAGAATTTCGAAAACTTAACTTCCTAAAAGAAAAAAATATTTTGAATGGGCTATTTAAAAAAGATACACAAACTTAATGGGTTTTAATGTGTGTCGCACTTAAAAATCCCACGAGGGGTCCCCCGCACGATGGTTCGCGCGGTGGTCATTTTTTATCGTTGGCTTTTAGCATAATTATGTTGCAAGGGCAAGAAACCACTTCTGCAATCAGCCAATGGCTTCGTCTCCTACTTGGAAATCCAAGGAATCTTTTGCAAAAGTTCTCAAGGTGATCAACCTAGCAAGATGGTGCTTTTGAAATGTACCATCAACGCCAAGATTCCATAGTGTGGAATCTTCCGATCAAATTGACAACAACCTGATTGTAATTGCAATTAAAATCGGCACAACAAAAAAGAAGCGAACGGCCAATAACAAAGCAAAAACTTATGATGAGTTGGAGTTTGTACCGTATCAAATACGTTGTTACAATTTCCTAAAAGCAATTGGTAAAAAGAAGCCACAAACATCGGAGGTAAATGTGTAGGGAGGCACCTATTAACAAGAAAAATCAGAGTCTATAGTCTTTGTTACTTCAGAACTGCAAATGGCATATTATCTACAAAAAATTCAGGGAAATGGGCCTTTTTCTCTCAAAACTGGAAAAACACGGGTTACTGATATTTAAGAAACATACAATCCACTGTTTGCTTTTTACATTAATCATAAGATTATTCCATATAAAAATTAATAAAAAAGTTGACATACGACAATTTTGGTCCATGTGGCGAAGCCTCCGCCTTGAATATGCCAGACTAACAAGGGTATGGAATTTTATGAACAACCACCTGATTTTCGCGCAATTAACAAACAAATATTACTATAATCAAATGGTTCTATGCTCGCGAACGGTTAGTTTAGAAATTCGAAAAAGGTTTTTAAAAGCGCTGTACGGGTGCGAAACATAGACAGTGGGTGCGGCGGAAAAGAAAAGGTTAGAAGCCTTCGAAATGTGGTGTTATAGGCGAATGATGAGGATACCGTGGATAGAGAAGGTTAGAAATGAAGAGATATTAGAAAGAATAGGAGAACAGAGGACTCTATGGAAGTCAATAAAAAATAGACGAGATAGATTGGTAGGACTCAGGCATGAAGGTCTAGTCGGAGACATATTAGAGGCAGAAACGGGAGTTAGGAAGAGTTAGAGGTAGATCTAGATTAGATAATTGATGTGGGTTGTTCTACTTTTAGGGAAATGCAAAAATTAGCTCAGGGTAGCAAAAAGTGGAGGTGCGTGTCCAACCAGTCTTAGGACTGAGGACCTTATGATGATGATAATCAAATGGTCATACTGGCTTATAATTTTCATGGGCAATTTTTCCGAACCTACATGTCAATTTTCAACTTTCAAACTTCTCAATCACTCCAAGACCTTTCAAACATGACACGTACAGTACAACAACAATTACAAAACATAACCAATATCGTATTATGTATCCAGTTGACATAATCAACTGTGACAAACACACAGACGTGCGGACAACATCAAGCCTTACCATGCAAATTCTTTATCACCTTTTTGTCACCGAATTTTACAATAAATCATACACCGCATGTATTAAACGTAAAATCAACTGAACAATTGAACGAATTAACGTAATGTAAGACAGAATATTACAAGCACCCTGTATGCTGCAAAATAGAGAAACTAACGCAACTAATATTGCAATTTTATAAAAAGAAACTTGTGCTTAATATCAATATGTTTACTTTTCAATTATAACTTCTTTTCGTTCGAAAGATACTTGAATAATAATGCAAGTTTCGCAAAATTTATATTTAGGTACTTGTAACACGTACCGTTTTTATAATACGTACTTGTATAAAAATTTTTAGGCTTCGTATCCATATATATATATACACCCATAAACGCAGACGTTTTTTGATTACATAACAAAACTTGAGAGCCTTTCGCAAGAAATTATTATTATTAGACGCCCAAAGAAAATTCAACGTAATATTACAAGATGTTTCAAATTACAAACCACTTTTACTGAACTTGACCTACAGCAAGCAGAATTTTAAATTTTATTCGCGTTTCTCAACAACTTACAATAGTTAATTTATTACAAAGCAATATACTAAAGGTTAAATATTGCCCTAACAATTACTCTAATATGTCATGTGTTTAAAAAAAATTTAACCATCAGATTCTTCGTAAAATTACGAAAAAACTTTTCCTTTGCAGAATTCTAATCCAATTCTTAATTAAAAAGTTATTGACAATTAAAGGTTAGCCAATCGCTACTGCAAGTAGAAGTAGCGAATCGCTGCAAACAGTTGCTATCGTCCATTGTTACTTCAACTTGCAGCAATGAAGATACGCCCTGATTGGCTAATATGTCTAATCATTATAATCAACAATTACTCAGTAGTTAAGCATCGGATTGGAAAACTGTAAAAGAAAATGTTTCCTAGAATTTTCCAAAGAATTTGATGGTAACAAATTTGAAACAACACCATCGGTATTTTGGTACTTATATATATAGATCCCTGTTTCTGTATAAATTCCGAAAAATAAAACACGATTTAGCAAGTCGGTTAGGTACATGTCATTAATCAATAACCCGTTAGTTACAGTAAAAAAAAGGCCTTTGACCAATTGCAATAACAAATTGTTTCGTTTACCTATGTAATGAACTTGACCTCTAGTTACGCGTTTTCTCTAACACTAGTTTAACTACCTACAATAAAAACAGCTAAACAACAAAGTAGTGAACTTCAAGTTCTATGATATAACAATAATAATATATACAATACTGTATTATTGTCTGAATGTTATAAAAAGCGAATGTTACACCTGGTGGAGGGTCATTTCTCTCTCAACATTCCTCGACTGTTCTTCTTTTCTCACAAAAAAATGCTATTTTTAAATCTAGAAACGTTTATATTTCGTAGCAGCTTTTATAACAAACACAACAGTTAATTAATCGAATTAATAAAAAATTGTAAATACTCTCGCTAATTAATACTTACACATCTGCATAAAAAAAAATTAATTGGCTAGCGTAAAAAAATAGTAAAAATAATGTTAAGTTTACAGCAAATATTCTACCCCTTCTAAACTAAATATTACACATGTAAAAACAAATTTTTCTTTACTGTAGATATATATTTATCCATTTCGGATTATAAAAAATCAAATACATTATGACATCAATGCTTTTCGAAATTTACTCACTTCCATTGTCTATCCCAATTTGTATTTTATTATCATAGACAAATTTACAAACATTAGATATAATGGGGGTCCAAGTATCTCTGCGAGTACATAAAATATGTCTATAAATTTCAGAAAATTTCAATTTATTTCATTCATTAGCTATACGTCTTTACTTCACCATCAACAAGATCATTTAGTCGTTTGGATATAATAATTAAAAAAAAAGACAACATGTATAATCGGTTATTTTCGTTTCTTTTAGGCATTTTAACCATCGCGTTTATTGGGGCAATAGCAGTTGGCTCGGGATTTTTTGTATTATTCGTGCAACCCTACGATATACTTTTCAAACTGGTAAGTACCAATAGAATGAAACAAAATTACACGGGTTTACATTCCATTTTAATGTTCAGGCCTAATAATAGTTTAGAAGAAACGTATTTGCTCGAAGTATACTTGATATTAATTAAATATTATCGCAATAATAATAATAATAATATAATACCTAACCTAAAACAAACTAATAGAGACTAATTTACCAAATAATTATGTACTTTGCCATGTAACTATAAAGAATTTCGAAATTATGGTAAATGTATCTGTATGAATACGCGACGATTTATAATTGCTACACAAAAAGTACTAATACTACCCTTTTCTTTGCAAAATTTCGAGAATAAAAGTCCTTTACAGTTTTTCAATCCAATACGAAACTACGGAGTAATCATTGATTAAAGAACAATGTTCTCGCTGCAAGTAGAAGTACGCTTATCGTAAGCAGTTGCAATTGAAGTACTTGCAGCTGCCTGCGATTGGTCAACTACATAAATCTTTTATTGCTTATTGCTCGACAGCTGAGAATCGTATTAAAAGCTGTAAACAGAAAAACATCTTGAAATTTTGTAAAGAACCTGATGATGTACTTTAGGTACAACGTTCTTAATGCGGTACACAACAAATATCACGAAAATAAAATAAAATTTAATTGAAGGCACTTAACTTAAGTTGGTATTCGTGCACGAGAAATCGTGTTTTTTGAATGTAAAATATTTTGAAACGTGATTTAGGATTGTTTCTAAGTTGCATATCTTTTTAGAAATGTACGTTTAGCGATGGGGGTGAAATTTTTGAAATGTGGAGGAAACCGCCGGTAGATTTATACCTGAGGGTGTTCCTGTTCAACGTTACGAATAGGGAGGCTTTTCTTAGGGGCGAAGAGAAGCTGAAAGTCCAAGAAGTTGGACCTTATGTTTACAAGTAAGTTACGCCATTCGTTTATATATACAGGGTAGTCACACAAAAAAGTTTGCTGAAAGTAAGTACATATGTCCATGTAATTATATCCAACCAATAATAATAAATTGTTTCTAAATTTGGAAGAAGAGATATGATGCTTACTCCAATGATAACCGATAGATTTATGACTTTTTTTTATAAATATTCAAGAAGGTTTTTAACACTTTTGTTAAAACTTTAAATTGCATAAATTGTTATACCAAAGCAAAATTAAGTGATTCTAATGATTTACAACAACAGGGATGTACGATAACCACTTATTATTTATTAATATTGATGACTCTTTCAAAATAAAGGTTATACAATTATAAAAAAATATCTGAAGGTCTCAATTATTATTAGGTAATTAATTACAATGCGGAGTCATCTAAAAACGTTTAAAAATTTATTGTAGCAAACTCGATAATTAAGTAATTTAATAATAAATTAACCATTTATAATAACTGTATCCAATTTACGAAAACCTCCTCCCAATAATCGTACTTATATAAGTACATAAATAAATGATAACAAGGAGATTATATTAATAAAGTACTTTATATGTCGGTGATAAGTTTGTGCTATTTTCGCTGCAACTACAGCTCCATATAAAAAAGAATACGTGACCCGAATGAATGAACAGATTTTAAAGACCCACTTATAAGACCTGTGCTAATCACCTGGTTGCAAATATCGCATATAAATTGAAACAAAAGTTCGTTATTACAAAAGAGGTAAATTGCTAAATAACTATAAACATTTATATGTTCGTTGTCCTCCCGCAACAGTTGATTGCAATTCTAATACGTAAAAATCAAAAGGATTACAAGATCAACAAAAGGAATGTCATAATTTTGCAAGATTTAAAAATTGACAGATAATCAACAACCCTCAAAACAATAAAATACATAATAATTACAGTTCGATACTTAATAAACTTGCGTAGCAAATAAACAAAAGGTTTACTGCCTATTGTCTAAGAGAAATGAAATTGGTAGTCAGTTTTCCAATTTTTTTTTTTTGAAATATTAAATGTGGAAATCCATTTGCCATTTAAACCAACCCGGGACCTTTAGCTTTATTCACCAATACTCTGACCGCTAGGCCACTGGAGCGTAAAGTCAACGGTACCGGGTTCGATTCCCGGCAAGGGTGTGACATTAGCAACAATTTTTTTTTTATTAGCTTGAGATAATTTATAGTTATTTTAAATGTAAAATGAATTTCCACATTTAATATTCGATATATAAACCACTATTAATATCAAAGTGTTTCTTATATGTACCATTTCTTTTTTTTATGAAAAACACATGCTTCCAAGCGGCTTGCAAATCATTTTAATGACAAATCACTGCACCGACACAAATTGAAGTTTATTAGACATTATGCAACGTATAATGTGAGCATGGAAAGTATTTTAATTAAACAAGCCAGTGACTGTTGAGTTCTCAAAAGCCAGTTGTTGACCAAAATTGAATTAAGCAAGAATTGAATTCATATATATGCAATTTTTGATTGTGACTAATCAAATTCCACAAAATTTTCTGTTAGTCATCGATAGGTAAAACAGATGAACTTTGAATATATTTGTTAGCCAGTTTTGATCTGATTGCATAAGTTTGAGATTTCTTCATAACATTTTGGTAAAATATACAAAAAAAAAGTTAATGTTACAATCAGACTTATTTTAATCCAGAGGATTGATTAATTTCTGTTATACCTAATGGCAATCGATCTATGTATGTCAAGGGTAACTGGTATCTTTAGAAGAAAAGCACACTCTTCTGGGTGTGACAGTGACATCAATCGACGTCCGAGCAGAATTTATGTTTTTTGTTACATAAATCGGCCCGGCGACGCTAATTAGAAGTTAACTAAACTAAAAAAACGATCTAGTGGGATTGACATCTATAATCCATTTCATAACACCAAAAAATTTATCGATTGGGCAAAAATTTCATCACATTTAGCCACGCATAAACACATGATGCAATAAAAAAAATAATAAACTTTGGTTTAAATGTTTCGCGTAAATTTTTGGCTTACAACAAAATTTTTAATTTCATTTTGTTCATTTGTATTGGTCAGAGGGTAGTTGTAATGTATAATTATCAACAAGGACGTCTGGGAGATATTGCTAAGCAACGAACGCAATGTAGAATAACAAGATATGAAATTGAAAAGTTTAAAAGAAAGAAACTTCTGGTATTTAGATTTTATCTTGGATTTTGTGCACAGCATCATCGACCGTCCTTTGTCAATATCGTTTTCCTTTTTTAAACAAAGGCCAATGCAAGATGACCAAGTGCTTTAGCTGTCAGACAAATATATTTTTGGTGACCACCCTATTAGCATGTAGTAAAAAAACAAACCATTTGTCACACATGCCTAACGAAAACGCATTTTCTTTTAGAGAACTGATGACCCATGAAAATATCACTTTCAACGACAATGGTACCGTATCAGCCATACCAAAGCACCCCCTCGTTTGGGTACCAGAACTTTCAGAAGGTAGAAGAGAAGACGATATTTTAGTCTTGCCGAACATCGCGTTATTGGTAAGTTAAATTTTTATAACGATGAAACGGAGAAAGAGAAAAACTGGATTAAATTACTGTCTAAAACGTCTGCATTGTAATCAATTTTCCTAATCAAAATTGCGAATTATTTTGATCCAATTTCTCTCACCCGTAATAAAAATAATAAAGAAACCACTTGGTGGAAACTTATTTTATGGAGCATGAAATTAATGGGTTAGGCCCCTATCATGATTTTGTTCGATTTTATGGATTCTACTTTCGATAATCAAATGGTGATGTTATCTATTAATGCTATACATTTGCGAGATTTCTAAAACAGATAAAATATTCCACACAACTATGCAAGCGTATATAGTAGATTACGTATAAACAAAAATTTTCGCGTGTTTCCTTACCCCTATCCCCATTATAAACGTTTCTAATTTGTTAAATCATCAATTTAAAAATGTACATCATTCTATAGCTTGTAATTATAATTTCTAATCGAGGTATAATTTTTTTATGATATCTTTATGGCAGTTATGTATATTCAAGTAACATATTTTTGCGATTACTACTGACAGGTTTTTCCTTATAATTTATTTTCCATTACTTATGATAATACTCGTGTTAATTGCAAAGTTATTAATGTAGGTGTAGCCGAAAAATGTTAATGGGTACAATCAGTTAATTTTCATCCGGTTTATTATTAATTGACCGTTTTAAACCTGCTAAAACCCATAAAAATAATTGCAAGCACTTTACAAAAAAAACCTAATTAAATGACAAAGTAACAAAAAGTCTGTGAAACACATTTTTCAGTTCCTTTTTAAGAAAAAGGTAAAAATAATTTAGAATAAATTTGTTTTTCGGCCTTGGCTTGGCCAGCATACACACAGCAATTTTCATAAAAATATGTATAAACCTTCTGAATTATTATTATACTTTATTATATCACATTTTAAACGTACTTCCCATTTCCTACATCTTAATGATAAGTGTGCTATGTTTGACTAGTTAAAATAACACATATGATAAGTTCTAGAAGTTTTTTGCCTAGTTATAAAAATTTATTAGTAGGAAAATTTTGAACACAAACACTAAATAAATCTACAAACTAACGTTTACCCAAAAAAAACACCTTCTTATGCAAACGATTCACTAGCGACATGAACAAGTGCTACATCTACACGCCGAAGTTCCGCAAGGTTCAATACGGGGCCCTTTACTCTCTAATTCATTTTTACTCTGTTAAAGCTCAAATAAAGCGGATCACTCTGTATATATTAGTGCAATGTGGATTGTGCACTATACATTCCGACATGGACGACATTACTTTTTACGGTGACTTATAGAATGGGCAAAGTAATGCGTCTATATATGTATTATATAACAGTGAAAGTGGCATTATTCAGGCCTTACAGGTAGCACACATATGTAGGTAAATTTATATTATTGGTCAACAGATCTACTGTTATCTATCCTTATCAATGATCGGTGAAGCTTCTCAAAAAACCCAAAATATTCACAACAAATCCAAATACTAAACGTATAATGGCAACACATTTTGGTGTTACACATAACGAATTTTATATTTCACAATTCTTATCCAGTTTCGTTAAAAATTGAAATAATAATTATGGATATTTATTATAAGAAGCGCAGTTATATTGACCTGCACCAGAGTCTAACAAAAAAGAAAACGATACGCTCATTACAGTAATTATATTTGGCATATAGGCAGATGAATTTTAAGTGAGAAAATAATTATTCTCATACGAGGGTGGATTGATAAGTTTCCGGCCTGACCAAGAAAAACAAGGTTTTTAAAAATTTTTTTTTTTATTTCTCAACATAATCTCCTCCAAGGCTGATACATTTCTCATAGCGGTGTTCCAGTCTATTAATGCCATCTCTATAGACTGATTCGTCAAGCTCCTCAAAATAACCATTTACAGCTTCGATTACTTCTTCATTGTCCGCAAATCTCTTACCGCCAAGCC